GGCTATTTTTTTTTGGTTGCAGCCGTCATTGTTGTTTGGTAGGTCCGGGCTGGGGATTCGAACCCGCCACCTTAGGTGTACGTGGCTGGCGCCTTAGCCGGTTGAGCTATAGGCGCCGAGCCCACTCCTTTCATCTTTTTGAAAATTTTTCTTTTTTTTTTTAGAGACAGAGTCTCACTTTGTTGCCCTCGGTAGAGTGCCATGGTGTCACAGCTCACAGCAACCTCTAACTCTTGGACTTAGCCGATTCTCTTACCTCAGCTTCCCGAGTAGCTGGGACTACAGGTGCTGGCCACAACACCTGGCCATTTTTTTGTTGCAGTTTGGCCGGGGCCGGGTTCAAACCTGCCCCTCAGTATATGGGGCCGACACCCTACTCACTGAGCCACAGGTGCCACTCTGAAAATTTTTCTTAATTTTAATTTTTTAGAGACAGGTTCTTACTTTGTCACCCAGGTTGCAGTACGTGCTGTCTTCATAGCTCACTCAGCCTCCAACTCCTGGGCTCAAGCAATCCACCTGCCTCAGCCTCTCAAACAGTTAGGACTACAATATGGGTGCACATCACTGTGCCTGGCTACTTTTTAAATTTTTAGTAGAGACAGGATCTCACTCTTGCTCAAGCTGGTCTTGAACTCTTGGGCTCAAGGAATCCTTCTGTCTCGGCCTCCCAAAATGCTGGGATTAAAGGCATGAGCCACTGTCTGGTTCCCTTTCATCTTGTTTTTACTTGGTTTGGGATCCAGGGAAGGAAGGGGCTGGTATTTGTTTGGGTCCTGTGTTCTTTCACAGCATGTTTCACATCTGGACTGTCATGTGTACTCACTTGTGTGGCTTGTCTCCCCTGCTGGAGTGAACAGTCTCTAAGGGCAGAAATGGACCTGGGCTGTCCATGTGGGCACCCCCAAGATCTGGAAGTTATCTGAAGTCTGGCAGCCATGAAAGAATGACCATGTGGATAGGGGTCCTGAGGAGCAAATGGGACTCAAGCACGTGGAGTGCATGTGGAAAGCATTTGAGCACAGAAGACCCGGACTCCTCCTATCATTCTGAGGCTGATGGAGCCCAAAATGCCATGTCTAAGACATCCTCCTGTGGGCACAGGAGCCATAGGCAGAGCAGCCCCACATCTGAAGGGCCTGAAAGCCAAGACAAATTGGACCGAAGCCAAAAGATGATGCATTCTCAGGTTATATGAGTGAGGCCAGATTTTGTGGGCCTCACACTGGATGAAGCACAGGAAGGTCCTGAAAGGTGGCATCTAAGATCTCTAGCAGTCAGACATAAAAAGAAGTTTTGGAAAAGATGGTCTCTTCCCCTCTTTATCCCCTATGGATTTTAAATTAAAAGCAGAACTCTCTCTTTGGGTAATGACATTGATCACAATATTAAAAGGATGCGCTGTGATAAGTCCTTCCTCCTTGGTAGGGAGTAACCAGAGAGAAGACAGACGGCAGCAGGTCAGTGGGGGCAGTTTGCTCTCTCTTCTGTCCAGGAGAACCACCCAGGAGGGAGACAGCCTGGAGGTGAAGTGCCAGGCACTTACAGACTCCGATCAAGTTCTACGTGTCTGTGGCCACTGGGAATGAGTCACCCAGCTCTGGATCCACACACCCCAGCTTGAGTCTGGCATGGGCTGAACATTACAGGTCAATCTCAGTAAACTGGCCACAAGGGTTGAAATGTGCCATCTCCCCACTGCACGTTATGGGCCTCAGGTGCCTTTAGGCGAGGAAAGAGAGAGCTGGACAAGGTCACCCTGACATTTGGGGATATTGCGTAGTGAGTGTGGTCTGCTTATGTTTGTGTTCCTTCTGTGTCAATATCAAATAGGAATAAAAAAAATGCTCTCGGGTGATGCCTGTGGCTCAGTGGGTAGGGCGCAGGCCCCATATACCTAGGGTGGTGGGTTGGAATCTGGCTCCTGCCAAACTCTAACAACAATAACAAAATAGCCAGGCGTTGTGGCAGGTGCCTGTAGTCCTAGCTACTTGGGAGGCTAAGGCAAGAGAATCGCCTACATTCAGGAGTTGAAGGTTACTGTGACCTATGATGCCACTGCATACTACCCAGGGTGACACAGCGAGACTCTGTCTCAAAAATAAATAAATAAATAAATAAATGAAAATTTAAAAAAAAAGAAAAGACAATGCTCTCTAAGAAAATGTACATATGTACAGACTTGATATGATCTGGCAGGATGGCAAACTTCTAAAATAAATTGATTGAATCCTTCCTTTAAGAGAAACAAAAGTCCAACCCCCACCTCCCACCCCCGTGGTTCTGGGCTCCCTGATGGAGCAGCCTTTAGACAGACATCCTTACCTATAGGTGGGAGGGTAGGGCTCATGACACTTGTCTAGCCCCTCTGTCTTCTAAGATACTTGCTCCTGCTATTGGAGACGGATTTTCCTGATACTGACTCCTGACTGGCTGCTGGCAAATTAGATCCTTGCTGGGCCAAAAAAGCTTGGGCAGCTTTTCTGAGCATCTATGTGTGCTCTGCATTACTGCACCCAGTTTAGAACATCCACCTTTCACCCATCCTGCAAATATGCCCCGAGAGCTGACTCTATGCCAGATGGGGGACACGGTGGCAAATAAAACAGAAAAACGGACATAAACCCCCTGCTTGCCAGTTGTCTATTCTCACATGCACTCACAAAAAATAGGTAAAATGAACTAAATGAGGGATGGTGCTAAGTGTTATGAGAAAAATGAATGTGATAAGGGAGCCAGAAACATCATCATGGAGGGAGAACTGCAATTTTAAGTCAATGCGGTGTGCGGGTGCCAGGTAAGCCCCCCACCAAGTAAGGACGGGAAGGACACTAGGGAGGAGCCATGGGGAACAGAGCTGCAGGCAGTCAGCCCAGTCTGTGCAAAGGCCCTGGGGTAGGACCAGCAAGGAGGCCCCTGTGGCTGAAGCAGAGTGAGGAGGGGAAGAGAGGGAAAAAGTGAGGGCAAGGAGGGAACAAGCAAGTTGTGCACAGCCTGGTGGGCCATTTTGATGATCCTGGCTTTACCTGGAGGCCTAGGGGAGCCCTGGGACTTCTGAGCAGAGCGATACCACAGCCTGAGATAGAGTGGCACCACAGCCTAAAATCACCTGAGTGACTGCCAGGAAAAGGGCCTACTTAGTGAGGGCAGGCATGGGGGCTGGCCAGGAGGCAGCAGAAATAACCCATGGGGAGGTGGTGGCAGCTGAGGCAGTGACGGAGGAGGTGGGAGAAGCAGGGAGCCAAGACGGTGGCAGGAGAGCTGGGGCTCCTAGGTGGGTGCTAAGGGCAGGGTGAGGCTTTGGACAGCTGTGATAAACTGCTGATTTAAGCTGCTAGAGTGTCATCAAGGGGAGGTCTGGGTGGCAACACCCACTTGGAAACAGCCTGGGTGGGTCCCAGTGGGGTGAAGGCACAGGATAACTGAAGATTGTGACCACAGGAAGGTATCGTAACAACTGAATCAACTTTTGGACAAGGGTACTGTTGGACTGGCTCTGCTAACTCCACCCTAGCCTGCAGGCAATAGCTACTGGGTAGGTCATCAATAAAAGTCTAAATGATCTTGGACTATTTGCGTTTCTTAGTTGAAAAGACCAAAAGTCATATAATCCTCGAAACTTCTGGGTGGGGTCCTTGGGGTTTCCATACCAGGCTGACTGTTATCTAGCTGGGATGATCTTCCAACATGCAGGTTTCCAGGCTCTGCTGCCCTTGGAAACCTCTGTGCCCACATGGGTTTAACCTGGGTGTGCATTTCCACACGGCCTCTGCCCTCAAATGCAAAGCTCCCTATGTTTGGTAAAGACCAAGACAGAGCCCTACACACAGCAGACAGTGGGCTAACATCACCAAGTGGCAGCAGGGAGGAGGCAGCATAGCTCAGCTACTGGTGGGACACTCAGCCTGGAGCTCTCTGGGAACACTGGCCCACAAGGCATGTGTGCCCTCTGGCACTGTGGCCTCAAGGCTGGGCTCTCAAAGGAACTAGGACTGGTTCTGCAATGCACCCTGAACCTCCAGAAGGCTGCTGCCCACTGCCAGCACAGTCTCAGCCACAGGCAGACTTGAGATACCTGCTGTGAGTGCCCCCAGCTGATGGAGGTTGCACTGCCTCATCCATCAGCAGATCCTATTCCTTAAGGCCCCTTTTTCTCCCCTTATCTCACATTTGTCAAAACAAGATCCAGGCTTATTTTGCCCCAGTGTTTGTGCAAGAATTTTTAGAAAAATCTTTTTCTTTTTTATTTTGAGAAAGAGTCTCACTTTGTCGCCCTCGGTAAGGTGCTGTGGCGTCACAGTTCATAGCGACCTCAAACTCTTGGGCTTAAGCGATTCTCTTGCCTCAGCCTCTTGAGTAGCTGGGACTACAGGTGCCCACCATAACACCCGACTATATTTTTCTTTTTTTAAGAGAAGAGGTCTTGCTCTTGCTCAGGTTGGTCTTGAACTCATAAGCTCAGGCAATCTACCCACCTCCCAAGTGAGAAAAATCTTATTTCTTTCTTTGCTTTTAGGTCACCAAGCCCCAAATCCTATGTATCATAGCTCATGATGAAAGAAAACAACTCAGCTACAAATCACCAGTGAGAAAATGGAAATAGGAGTTTAACTTGCTAGAAAGGGGAGCAACATGAGAAAATCTGCGTTCCAAGTGAAAAGTGTTAGATTGCCAGAAGCACACTTGCAGCAGAGACAAGCAGCTTGGATGTTCTCTTGTAGACATTTTAACTTCTCTGCAACCATAGCCATGCTGTCTGCTTGGGGCTATGCCCCCTGCTCTGCCTGCCTCACTGGCTCTCTCTCCCAAAGCCCCACAGGCTGCAATGTGGCCACATGAGCTTGTCTTGTTGAATACAGATGTCATTCTCCTGGCTTTTCTACTCATTGTGCTCTGGTTTAAAACTTGGGGTTGAGGGATCCTCTCTCTAAGCACATGCTGAAGATTTCCCCTCCCCAGGTCTGTTCATAGAGAGCCAGTAGTATGGACAACAGGGTGCCCATGTCTCTCCCAGCCTGGTAGGGGCTGGGGCACTGATGAGGGGCCTAGTATACTTCCTTTTGCTTTAAGACGAGTGGCAGAGGGAAATATTTCTGCTTTTTCTTCTTTCTAATGACCAGCCCTCTGGGGCAGGGACCAGTACCCTCCTCAGGTACTGCCTCGAGCAGACAACCATGCTGGTGCCCAATCCATGAACCCAGTTTTCTGGACCTTTCCCGAGATCAAACTCTACTCCCATAATCACTGCCTTCCAAGTAGCACCTTATTCTAAAGGTTGGCCAGCACAAGGAGCTTGATGAGGTCATAGGATCAGGTTCCACTAATAGGAACTTATTTTTCTTTGATGTTTGAATTCTCAAGAGAATGTCAAACCCCAGTTTAAGAGCTAAAGAGCAACTGCTAGAAGCACATTCTGGCTTTTGTCACCTGCTCTAGTTTTGAAACAAAGAGCACATTTCCAAGTATGTGCCAAGTGGAACTGAGGAGCATTTGGAAGAGAAGGTGAAAGGAATGAATGTGAAGATTCCAGAGGTTCCCTTCTCAATTGTCCCTGGAAATAATGACTCTGAGCCAGTCACCTCCTTCTGTGCCACCCCAGCACGAGCCTCCCAGAGCCAAGATATCCACAACTTCCCAACACAGGGCCTGCAATCATGGTTTCCTCCCATGAGACAGAAAAGGAAAAAAATCTTATACAACTAAAATCAGTAGGGATTAGTTGCGTTATGCTTTTCTCAAATTACCATTTCTTTTAAATAGCTGATCCCAAGAAAATTACTAAGAGTCTTTATTGCACTCCTGATCCTATGTCATTTTCTCTCTTTTGTTCCTGCTATTTTAGTATTGTTTTTCTTTTTAATACATAAAAATACTAATTATACATTAAATAATTTAATCTCTGTAACAGCCCTAGAAGGTGCTATTATTTTCTACCTTTTACAAATAAAGAACCTGTCTGGATTTCCTGTTTTTAATTGTGGAAGGATATTTTTTCTGGGTATAGAATTCTATGTTGGCATCCTCCCCTCCACTTTTAGCACTATAAAGGTGTCATTTCATTGCCTCTGTTTTTAAAATGTCTATGCAGGTCACAAGCAGAGCAGGGATAGATTGCCAAGTCAGACACACACTTACATGGCTGTTGAGTAAACCGCTTTTGTGTGATGTGATTCCTTCGCTTTTTTGGAGGTTTTCAATCGCCATTTCAAGCTAAAGAAAATGTGTGCAGAAACAAAACAAAACAAAATGGAAAAAAAAGGGAAATCAGATGGTTAGCATCAGCCAAGATTTGTTTTTATTAATATCCAAATAATGATTTGAGCTCGTATAAAATAAAAACAAAGCTCCACAGAAGCAGGCGTGGAGGTGAGTTAAATTGTGAGTAAAAGCTGTGCCAGGGAATGTTACTTTGTCACATGCAAAAGAGCCTGATAGACTGTTCAACATAAGCAGGAGAATAAAGTTATATTGTGAAAACTCGCCATAGGATTTTAACACAATATATGCCAGTGTACACGCATAACATATTAATATGTAGTTCCTGCATAAATTCAGGTATCTGCAAAGCCAGCATGATAATCACTCACTCCTCTCCATCTATTGCTAGGGAGAATCAGGTGAACATAACCAAGAAAAGATGGCAGCATTGATCTCCCAGCTAGGCTGTCCTGTCACAAAGCCCAGGGTCTGCCCACTGCAGGATGCTTTGGGAAAATATCAATGAGGCCAAAGATATAGACCCTGCCATCAGGAGGTGTAGGACCCTAGCCAGTGGACACAGCCACATAGATCAGATCCTGAATGTTTATGAAGTGTGAGTTGCACAAAGAGAGCTGGGTGGGGAAGAGAATAGTCTTGGAAGAAAGAGTCAGGGATGCTAATGGCAGGACTTCCTAGAGGAAGGGGGCTTTTGAGTTGGGTCCTAAGGGACCTGCTGGAGAGGAGGTGGGCAGTAAGTCTACTCAAGGAGGAAGCACCCAGCTGGGCTTGGCTGCAACAGCATCTGCCTGTGTCAGATGTGACCTAGACTTGTACGTGGAAAACAGAAATTTAAAATCTGCTGCAGCCCACCTGATGGGCAGAGAACTGTGATGGAAGGAAATGGACCTAAAGTATATGCTTCCTTTCCTAAAACACTCGGGAGGCTAAAGATTTGGATGACGCTTCTGCAAAAAGTAGGTCAAGCATGTATTTCAGAGATGGTGTTCCTCAGAGCTGAGTTCAAGGAGAGGGTGACTGCTTCTCCCAGGGCCTCTTTGACCTCTGTGGTCCTGTTTCTCTTACTAGCTGCACTTGCTACAAGCCAAAAAGGATGTTGGTGTCACCTTTAAGAAATATAAAAGGTGCTGGGGAGGATGAGGCAAAGGAAGACTGTGAGACCACTCTCTACCTCACCCACCTGTCAGCCCCAGGGTGCAGGTGAGTGAGGAGGAGGCAGTCTTCACTGCTTCTATGACAGAGAGGAAAAACATATCCTCCTATCCCCGGTCCCACGGGCATGCTGGTCTGTATCTTGGCAGTCAGGCAAGTGCTGGCTAAGAACATGGCTCCTGCCTCCCCCTCAACAGGGAGGAGCCAGGGCAGTCATCCTTCCACGTGTGATACCACCCAACCTTGAGTGTCCTGAGAGTGTAGTTCATGACCTCTAGAAGTCTGCCCAAGCCTTGGGTGGCCTTGCCCAGAGCATAGCAGACTAGAAAGGGAAAGAAAATACCCTCTCTCAGCATGGTAAATCTCAACCATTTGGTCTGATGACTCATTTACACAACTGAAAATTTTTAAGATTCCCCCACCCTCCAAAAAAGGGAGCTTTTATTTTTACATTTAAATCTATTAATACTGCCCACATTAGAAATTAAAGTGGAAAATTTTAAAAATACATGTATTCATTCATTTAAAAATATATATCCATTACAGGTGAACATAACATTTTAAAATGAAGAGTAGCTATATTTTCCAAATTCCAAAAGAAAAAATTAGATGAGCAGAATTGTTTTATATCACTATAAATCTCTTGAGTGTCTGATTTATAAAAGACAGATCTACACATCTGCTTCCACATTTTCATCTGTTACTATGCTGTTTTATTTGGAGTATATGAAAAAAAAATTTGGCCTCACACAGATATATAATTGGAAAAGGAGCAGTGTTTTAATGGCCTTTTCAGATAACTGTAGATGTTTTTACTTGCTATTACATTAACATTTGACAACTAGTAGTTTCTTGAAAGTTAGTTGCAAGGTAGAATTTGAAACCATATCAATGAGGTTTTCATACTCATTTACATTGAAATCCATTACTCTCTTTTTCATTTTTCCTTTTATTACTCTTGAGATGACATCAGCAAAAATGGCAGCTTAGGGAACTCAAACCAGAATCAACTTTATCTGAACTCTGGAAGCTAATGGAAAGATTATAGCAACCAGGTGAACCCTTAACCAAGAAAAACAACAGATAAACTTTGGCATTTAAGGAAAACTGTTGAATCATTAGCTGAACACTAAGCTAACCAAACAGAGATTTCAGTGGCCATACATGAAAAAGAACATAAATTTTACAAAATTAGTCCAGAAAGATCATTAAACAAATAATCAGTAACAACTATGAGCAGCAACCAAAAACCCTGGGGAGGACCAAGAATTGATATCCAGAGTTGCCATATTCAAAATATCTAGGTTTCCACAAAGGCAAGCGAATAGACAAATATGGCCAAAACAGAAAAAATTAAGGAAATGTCCCTGAGAAAGCCCAGACATTGGATTTATGAGACAGTTAAAATTCACTATTTAAAATATGCTCAAAGGAAACCACATATAAAGCATAAAAAGCAGCCATGAGAGAGAAGCCTCACCAATTAGAGAATATTGATAAAGATACAGAAATTGTAAAAAGACAACAAGTATGATAGCTAAAATGAAAGTGTTACTAGGAGAGGTTCAACACCTCTCCTAGATTTGAGCAGACAGAAGAAAGAATCAGGAGACTTTTAAGGATAGGTCAATTGGGTCTATTTGGATCAGAGGGCCAGAGAGAAAAAATAATGAAAAAAAAAATAAACTGAGCCTAAGAAACTGTGGGATACCATCAGGCATACTGACAAACATGCAATAGGAGTCCCAGGAGAGGAAAGAAAGAGACAGAAAATATATCTGAAGAAATAATGGCTGAAAACTTCCCAAATTTGATGAAAAACATGAATCTACACATTCAAAAATTTCAACACAACTCTAGTATAAGCTCAAAGAAATCCATACCCAGACACATTATAATCAAACTGTTGAAAGACAAAGACAGAGAATCCTGAAAGCAGTAAGAGAAAATCAACTGGGTTTACCTAATGGGAGTAATAGTTGATTTCTCATCAGAACCATGGAGGCCAAGAGGTAGTGGAATGACATATTCAAAGCGCCAAAAAAGTAAAAAACCCAAATGTAAATCAACAGATAAATGGATAGACAAAATGTGGTCCGTCTATATAATGGAATATTATCTGGTCACAAAAAGGAATAAAGTTCTAACATATGCTATAGCACAAATGACCCTTAAAAACATCATACTTGTGGGCGGCGCCTGTGGCTCAAAGAAGTAGGGCACCGGCCTCATATGCCGGAGGTGGTGGGTTCAAACCCAGCCTTGGCCAAAAACTGCACAAAAACCGAAACAAAACAACCCCCCCCCAAAAAAAAACATCATACTTGTGAAAGAAGCTAATTACAGAAGACCATATATTATATATTTCCTTTTATTGAAATGTATAGAAAAGGCAAATCTCTAGAGATCTAGAGCATATTAATGGTTGTCAGGGGATGGTGTGAGGGGCAATGCAGTATGATAGCTAATGCGAATGATGTTTCCCTTTGGGGTAATGAAAATATTCTGGATGAGGTGATGGTTGTATAACATTGTGAATGTACTAAATGCCACTGAGTTGTATTCTTTGAAATAGTGAATTTTAAAATATATAGATTTTATCTCAAAAAATAAATATATAGAGCTAACATTAAAAAATACATTAGTCTCTCTTGCAATTTGAATGAATCTTTTACTGATGGGTATGGTTTTGTATAATAACACTATGCACCAGGTCACTGGTCACCAGGAAAATATGGGTTCACTGAGTTAGCAGATCTTCTAAATGTTGACATAATATCAAGAAATCACATTTGTGGCTCGGTGCCTATAGCTCAACCGGCTAAGGCGCCAGCCACGTACACCTAAGGTGGCAGGTTCGAATCCCCAGCCCGGACCCGCCAAAACAACAATGACGGCT